CACACACACACACACACACACACACACACACACACACACACACACACTCACATGCAAACAATAATAAGTTGACATATACATTTTATATATAAATAATGTTTTTTAACATCAATGTTTCTTTTTTTTTTCTGTCTTCTTCTTCTTCTTCTTTGCGTCCTCGAATGACACGCCTTCATTTGGTGAGCATTTCGACTTTGTCTGAAAACAAACGTAATTATCTTATTTTATTTTTCATTTTTTTTTTTTGTTTGCTGTGTTTTTCGACTACCATCTCTTTTATGTTCTTGTAAATGAACTCAAAACTTTGTTTTTTTTTTTTTTTGTTTAAAAACAAGCAGCACAAAATAGCATTAAATGAATTACGGAAAGATAAGAGTAAAATTTTTTATTAATAAAAATATGTGAATATATTATAATAGTACCTGTAGACGTAAGTATATTTTATACATATACGTATACGTATATGTATATGTATGTATGTATTACCTGCATATGTTTCGGGTAAGCATTGAATAAAAGAATAAAAAAATATATCTTTGATTGGAGATAAAGGAAAGACATAAGAAACATTACGAGCATAGTATGTATTATCATATGAAAAATATTTCTAAAATAACATATGTGTGTATGTACATTTCACTAACATGCAAGAAACTAAATGTTAAATTTAATATGCAATAACTACGATGAAAAGATGAAAGAAAGAAAACAATGATTTAAAAGAAAAAGGCAAAAAAAAAAAAAAAAAAAAAAAAAAATAAAAAAAAAAAAAAAAAAAAAAAAAAAAAAAAAAAAAAAAAAAGAGAGAGAGAGAGAGAGAGAGAGAGAGAGAGAGAGAGACAGAGAAAAGGCGCGTAAACAAACAAATATATACAAGTAGAAAAGGGTATGAAATGCGCAATAATGTTATGTGTTTGTATATTTGAAGAATGAAATAAAGCACAAAATCCAAATAAAAGCAGAAAACACAAAGCTAGGTACACACACACACACACACACACACACACATGCATACACATACTACAGATTTCCTTTGAGCTATTTGAGGTACTTTTCCAGCGCATAGATACTCATGTATTACATAGTGATAATCTTTGTCAACGCTCTTCTTGTTTTTTTCTTTTTATTTTTCTTTTTATTTTTATTTTTTCTTAGATGTTAAGTTTAAAACTTCAATTAAAATTGTAAAATTTGCTTTTTATTTTATATTAACTAAAAATATCGCAAGCATATACTAAAACATAAACGCACAAAAGCACTTATAAATATTATTTTAATTAATATTTATTCAAACGTCAATACGTATAGGTTCAATAGATTTATTTACATTACATCGATATTAAAAAGAGTAATTAAAATGTGAAATATGTTTATCTATGTTACGATAAATGTAAGTATATACACACTCATGCAATTTACATAAAATAAAATAATGCATGCAATTATAAAAAAAAAAAAAAAAAAAAAAAAAAAAAAAAGTAACTTCCTTATGTATACGTTGTTAGAATTTATAGAAATTTTTCATTCTCATACCAATCGCCGAAGAATAGCATAATTTGTTCCATTCCCTGTGCAATATATTGAGATAGGTTTCGCAACCTTACAAATAGTCAGCTGTATTCGCTAACACTTATCTTCAGATCTAACAAGATAGCTTGAGTCTACAACATACGCAACCGATTATACTTCTTTATAGGTAATAACTTTTAATAATCTTTTTCTATCTTACATCACTTATGGAAAATTT